CCCAGGCCCCTGGGAAAGCCCCCCTCCCCCACTACCTGCTTTCCTGGGGAGGCAAAGCCCGCCCACCCCGGTGGCAGAAAGAGGGACCGAGGAAAGACCCCCCCTCCACGTGGAAGTGGGCTCTAGGGCTGCCCCCTTCCGCCAGCCAGAGACGACTACCCCCAGGCCCCCCCATGGAAGGAACTGCCCCTGGGGCTGGCACCCCCTCCCACCCCATGGGAGTGGGGGAACCTGGCCCCATCCATGCCCACAGCCAGGGCAGGCTTCCCCCGCCCCCCCCCAAGGAGCCCGCCTGTCACTCACGCCGAGGGGGCCCTTCTGGAGACGGCTGCTGCTGCTGCTGCTGGGCAGGGCTGCCAGGGTGCGGTAATCCAGCTGCAGGATCTCTGCGCTGCCCCTGTCCTGGGGAAGGAAGCGGGGAGGGTCAGGGCTGGCTCTGGCCTCGCAGGGCACAAGCAGTCCCAGCGAGCAGTTTCACCCCCCTGGAGGATTCTGGCCTCGGGTGGCCCCACAGATGCCCCAGGGGATAACGCAGCCCCTCGGCAGCCCCAGCAGTGCTCCGTGCCAGCAGAATGGGCCCATGGCCAAGGGCAGAAATTGGGGGCCACCAGCCACCGGATGTCCCCAGATCCTTGGGGAACCCTCTCTATGCCAGTGGGGGTGCTTGGGGAAAGCGGGCTGAGGCTGGGGGTCTCCCCCTGGCCTTGAGGAAGCCCTTTAAAGGCCCCCGGCCTCTCCGTGCTGGAACTGGGGTGCTGCCCTCCACAAGCCCCCCAGCCCCTCCCCTCAGCTCCCTTCTGGGTCTTCCCTTACAGCAATTGCAAGATTCCCCACCCCCTAAATGCGCCACACTGGCAGCAAAACTGGGGGTCCTGTGACCTCAGACCCCTCAGAGGAACAACCAAGAGAAAAGTGACCGGGGGGGGGTGAAGGAGCTTTGGGGGCACTTAGGAACCAAAACAGGCATCTGTCTTACTTAAAATTCCTGCAAAATTGGGAAAAAGCAAGTTATGGAGGAGGGATTGCTTTCCGCTCATCAAAGACGCCTCTAAATTCCAACGCTTCCCAGAGGTTTGCAGGTTAAACAGTCGCTCGGCAGCCATTCCTGGCTATGACAGACCTCCTCTACTTATGCCCCTGTTCCAAATTTATGACAACCCCCCCTGCAGTCAAGCGTCCATATTTAGGGCACTCGGCAATCAGGTCACACTGATGCTGATCACGTGACCTGCTATTACGCTCCCCCCCCCCCGGAAACTGTTTACTTCCGGCTTCCTGGGAAAAAAATTCCCCACAGCAAACAAGGGGTTTGCTTAATGGCCACGGCACCTGCACAAAAGGAGTCGCAAAGTCCACGACCCGCTTTGTGACCTTCATGACTCGCAACAGTGATTGCCAGACTCAATGACGGTTGAGGCCAGGACCGGCTGTCCCTGGAAGAAATCCAGCCAGCTGCCAATTCCAGCTGTTAGCGGGGGGGGGCTTGGAAGCCTCCTCTCTGTGGCTCCCCTTCAGGTACCCAAACATGGCTGCCCCCCCAAGCCCTGGCCCACTGAGTCCTCCTCAGTCCCCCCCCCAGCCTCAGGGGGACGAGTAGCAACTCCCCCAGCCCCCCCAATAAGCTGAAGGCGGCCAGGGCTGCAACTGGGACAACTGGCCGAAAACAAGCGTGGCCAAATTCTGCCGGCAAGAGAGTAGCCTCCCCCCCCCCGCAAGAGAGGCGGCACAGAAATTTAACAAATAAATAAAAGATGGGGGGAGGGCAGGTGCAACACTAGCAAAGAAAACCATCAGTGTTGGCCTTTAAGGAAAAGTTACAAGATTTGGGGGGGGGGGTCTTGGCAAAAAAAGGAAGGAAGCTGGAGAGGTTTTTCTCCTTTTTCTGTCTTGGTGGCAACGATGGTGGTGGCGGCCATTTAGGGCTGCCCAAGCAGTTCGGCCTCAATGCCAGGCCTGGAAGGGGGGATGGCGCCTCACCGGAAGTTGTGCCCCCCCCAGAGGATGAGAGGCGGCCAAGAGGGAACCCCAGGGAGGCAGAGCTGCCTTCCTCCCCCTCCCCCCTCCTCGCAGCTGAAGTTCAGTGGAAGAAGGGCCAGCCCCCCACTCCCCCCCCTCAGCCTCTGCTTCTCAAGCCATGCGGACAGCTGGGGACCCCCCACTCGTATCCCAGGCGAGTGGGAAGAGCCCACTCCTGACCCACCCAGAGCGAGGGTCCCAGAGAGCAGCTGCCATTAGAGCCCCCCTCCCCATGGCCCCCTTTGGCTGCGCCAGCACAAGGCTGGGGGCGGCTTCTGTGCACAGCGGGGCCTGGGGGGGCCTGGGGGGGGGCAGCAGAACCAGACCAGCAAGGAGCCGGGCGGGGAAGCAGGAGGGCGCTGCCGCCTCCTCCCAGGGATGGCGCCCTTGGGGTCCCCCCGCCCTGCCCTGGAGCCTCAGGAGCCGCCCCGCTCCTCCTCCCTCCTCCTCCCCCCCATACCTTCTGAAGAAGGTCCGCCTCCTCTGGGCTGAGGTCCCGGTCAACGGACGAGATGCTCTCCAAGCTGTTCTTGCGCCCGATGCCGGCCGCAAAAGGGTTGGCGATGACTCCGGGAGACATCTGGGGGGGGAGGAGGGAGAGGCGCTTTCAGCTGGGGCTTGGCCAGAGGGCGCCTGGCGGGGCCTTCCCTGGGGACAGGCTGATGGGAGGGCAGGGCACCAACCTCAAGGGCGGCCACGGCCTTGGGGTCAAAGCCCTCGCAAACGAGCACCAGCAGCCGGTCCCCCACGGCACGCAGGACCTGGACCGCCTCCGCGTGGGTCATGCCCAGCAGGCTCTGCTGGTTGACCTCCAGGATGCGCAGCCCCATCCTCAGCCGGCCATCACGGGCCGCTGCCCCGGTGGAGCTGACCTGAAAGGCAGCGAAGAAGCGGGGAGGTGGCGGCACGGCTTCTCCCCCTCCCCCTCGGGAGACCCTCAGAAGACCACCCTTGCTCCAATTGGGGGGTGGGTGGGTGGGGAGGCTGCTGCTGCTTTGGGTCTGGGGGCGGCTCTGCCACTCTGGACCCGCTGGGTCTGCTCCGGCAAGGACAAGCCCAACGGACGCAGGGCTCTGTGATGGGAAGTGAAGAGAGGGGGGCAAGGGCGCCCCCTCCCCCGCCCCAATTGCCTGGTCACAGGGGCCCCCCGAGGTACCTTGGAGATGAAGATCCCCTCGTCGGTGGGGTCGAAGGGGTTCCCCGCGTGGCCCTTGGCGCCGCCTCGGATGCTGATGCCCAGTTTCTCTCCAGGCCGCTTTTCAATGGAGATCTCCTGCCAGCACAGAGACACCGGCGTCTGGGGGGTGGACGCTCCGTGGGGCAGAGGAGGCTCTCCAGCCTGGACCGAAGGCAGGGGTGGGGTGGTGAGTTTCCCTACCTCCATTCCGGGCGGGGGAGGGTCTCGCCTGACCACCATCTGCAGCTCTGGGGTGCTGGAGAGCAGAGCGCTGACCGCCTCCTGATGGGTCGCCTGGCGCAGATCGAGGCCGTTCACCGCCAGGATCCGGTCCCCCACACGCAGGCCGCTGCGGAAGGCCAGGCCACGCGGGATGACCTGCCCAAGGGGAGAAGGAAGGAGGCGGACCTGAAGGCCCAATGCGGCCCTTTCCCCTCTCCAGGGGGCAGCGACCGCCCTCCAGGCCCTTCCGCTGGGCACCTGAGCCAGGGCTGGGCAGAGCGTGTGCAGGGGGGAGGGGAGCGTCAGCGTTTCTACCTTGGAAATGAAGACTCCCGGCTCGTGGATGCCAAAGGGGTGGCTGGAGTGGTCACTGCCTCCCACGATGCTGAGGCCAAGGGGCCCCCCAGCCTTGACCAGGCAGACCTCCTGCAAGCACAGCCCGAAGTTTCCCTATGGTGACTGGGGGGCCAGCTGCAGCCACCGGCATTCCCCAGCCCAGGTGGGAGAGGGAGCCCAGTGGCCCCCGCCAGCCCAGAGCGGCCCCAGAAACCCCCGTCACCCACCTCGGTGGGGTACTGGCTCTCCGTGTCTTTGGGCAGCTGGCTCCTGGGGGGGCACGCTGCTGCCTCCTCCAGCGGGGTCTCTCCTTGCGGGGGCAGAGGTGGTGGCGAGGGGGGCCGGGGCCCACACGGCCCCACAGGGAGGTCCTTCTCTTGCGGGGCCGCCTCTCTTTCCACCAGCAGAGCAATGGTGGGTGGGGAGGCGGTCAGCAACGCTACAGCCTGATCATGCCGGGCCTCCGTCATGTCCACCCCATTGATCTACAACGGACCCAATTCAGTGTCAGCGGAGGAGGAGGGGCAAAAGGCAGGCTCGGGGTTCAAGAAGGGAGCCCGCTCTAGGCTGCCCTACAGCGACCCACGGGGGAGGGACCTTCTATGACATGAGCTCTCCCCTCCACTGCTATTTGGGGTGGGGGAGAGGAGGAAAGGCAACTCACACCACCTAGCAGGGAGGATGGGGGAGGCATGGAGACGGAAGCCGGCCCTGACCGGCCGACTGGGGGCTCCCTCCAAGTTCCCATCACGGCTGTGGGGCAGGGGAGGGAATGGGGCCCACGCAGAGTGGGGGTGAGGAGAAGCTGGCTCACCCAGAGGAGCCTTTCCAGAGCGTCCAGTGGGGAGCCCCCACCCCTCACCCCAGCCCTTTCTCTCACCAAGATGACCCTGTCGCCCACTTGCAGCGTCCCTTCCCGGTGGGCAGCCCCCCCGTCTGCAATCCGGGAGATGAAGATGCCCTGTGAAGGAAGGGCCAGATCACTGACTGTCCCAGGAGGAGATCCTCCACAATGAAGGGGGAGGGGAGCGGAGGGGGCTCCATCCGTCCATCCAGATTCCCCACGTCAGCAGGAGCCGGGAGCAATCCTCCAGGGGGGGAGGGGGGCCAAATATCACCAGCAGGGAAGGCTCCCCATGCTCGCCTCTCACCGTGTCCCCTGGCCGGTACGGGGTGGAGCCCTTGCCCCCAGCGATGCTGAAGCCCAGGCCCCGCTCGTTCCGCACCAGGCAGGCCGAGAGCCGCTCGGTTGGGGTGGCGTCCGTGGCCCCCGTGGCCAAGTGCAGCCCTCCACGCCATTCCCGTGGGCTGTAATCATCTTCGGGCCGCAGCGGCGTCACCGTAACAGCGTTCTCGGGCTCCACCATCCGCTCCCGCAGCACGGTCATGGAGACGCTGCTGCCCGAGCCCCGGAGGGCCTCCACGGCCACGTGGTGCTCAGCGCCGTGCAGGGACACCCCATTCACCTTAGAGGGGCAGGGAGAGCTCACTGAACAAGCACACGCAGACCCCGCTGGCCCCCAAACCTCAGGCCCTGAAGGCAGCGAGGCCAGGGACGAACAGCTGACGGCCACAGAGCAGAGCCAGCAGGGCCCCCCGGGATGGGGTGGCCACCAGCCCCAAAGCCCTTTGGCCACACGCAGACATCCCTCTCCTATTAGCCGAGGCAGCAGCAGCCGCCGGCCAGCACGGCTGACCCCCCCAAGAGAGCGAGCGGGCGTGGGCCCTCTCCTCAAGCCAGGGCTGGTGCAACAGATACGCGCCCCCCCCCGGCTGCTGCCCTGGTGACCTACCTCCAGGAGCTTGTCCCCCACGCGCACCCCAGCCTGTGCCGCCGGGCCCTCCTCCGACACACGGGAGATGAAGATGCCCTGGGGGGAAGGAGGAGGAGGAGGAGAGGTCTGTGGGGACTGGCTCCTCCCACCAGCAGCCGCCCCGGGCCACCCCCTGAAAGGCTGCCCCCGACCCTCACCTCATCGTCGCCCTTGTAGGGAGTGGAGCCTTTGCCCCCTGCAATGCTGATGCCAAGGCCGCCCGTCTGCCGCATGATCGTCAGAGCCAACTGGAAGCCAAGCAGAAGGGGGGGGACGGGACCGATGGGTGCAAGGGAGGGCAGGCCTGCCCTCCTCCTGGATCAGCCGGAGGACACCCCCTCTTTCCCCGGGTGCCCGTCTGTTTCCTGGGGACTCTCCGCCTGGGAAGCTGCTCCGCACAGGAGCCTGTCCCTGGGCAGGGGCCCTCCTGACCCACGGCTTCGACTGGGGCAAAGGCAGGGAGGCCGGTGGAGAGACGTGGAACAACGTGGAGACCCACTAGAGATCAGAGGCACTCAAGGGGGAGGCCAGGAGGGGGAAGGGAAGAACCGGGGGCAGCCCTGGAGGAACAGAGGCCAAGCCAGCCGGACAGACATTGGCACACCTTCCGCAGACTGCTCTGGGGTCGCCCCTCCCCGATGAGCGAAACCCCTCTCGAAACTCCCCCCGGCCACCCCCCTTCGTGGATGATGCCCAGAGCCCCCTGCCCGCTTAGCCAGCAGCTCCCCAGAGGACCCTCCAGGGCCGGAAGGGAAGCAGAGGGACAGAGACAGGAAAGCGGGGTGGGGGTGGGGGGGATCAGAGCCCCAGGTGCTCAGGTGGAGGCAGAGAGCCATTCTGACCCAGAAGCCCTTTCCGAAAGCAGGAGACAGCCCAGGGGCAGGAGCCCAGCTACCAAGGCTGCAGCCGGGGGTGAAAGGCACGGAGAGCGGCAAGGGCCAGGGGAAGAGGGGCTGTCTGGATGGAGCAGCAGCAGCGCAAGCCCACGGGGCTGCCACGGACCCCTCTTAGGGATCAGGAGAGCAGCCTGGCCTCTGCGGGCACCGAGGGCAGCTGCAGAATGCTGGGCCCAGCGATGACCCCGGAGCTTCCTCCTCCTCCTCCTCCTCCTCCTCCTCCAGGGAGGGGCTGTCCCCGTCAGCCAGGAAAGCTCCCTGCCCCCTCCAGGCCCTTTCCTCCCTGAGGGGCTCAGTGAGCCCCCTCCCCAGCTCAGGCAGAGGAGGGGAGGGGAGAGGGAAGGAGGAGCTGCCACCCAGGCAAGGGGGCCTGGGAGCCCTGCCGGCAGCTCCGGCCGGACCAGGCAGAGAGACAAACCCACCCGGGCGGGCGGTACAGACCTCTTCCTCCTCAATGCGAGCGGGCTCAATCAGCAGATTATTGGCTTGGTCAAACGACACCCCCTGTTAGGACAGCAACCGGCAGAGGCGGAGGGCAGATTAGTGGGGAAGCCCCAGGCCACCACCAGGGAGAGGCAGGCAGGCAGGCAGGCAGGCAGACCCCACCCAGCACCGAGAGACCATCACACCAGAGAGAGAGAAGGCGGGGAGAAAGCAAGAGCAGGCAGGGTGGGGGCTCCTCCCCACTGTCCTCCCCCCCTTCTGGAAAAGGCCCTTCGCTGCCCCTCTTGGCAAGGCCTCCAGGCTGGCAGAGCAAGAGAGGGCCAGGCAAAGAACGGCACCCACCGGAGCCAGCATCAGCAGCCGGAAGCCCTGCGGCTTGTGGGATGCGAGGCGGCCAGCCTTCTCTGGGTCTGGGGGCAAAGACGCCACGCCTCCCCCCGGGAGGGCACGTGCCCCAGGGACTCCCCAGCAGGGAGAGCAACGAGCAACAGAGACCCCCACCCACAGGGGGGAGCACAGAGTGACCAGGAGGGCCCCTCCCCACCTCCCAGCAGTCGAGCGGGTGAGCTCAATCCTGCCGGCGCGGCCAGGAGAGAGGCGGCCTGGGTCTCCCCTCCACACCCCTGCCCCGCCCCGCCTGCCCCCTCAGCCCCCCTCTCAGGAAGGCCCTCACCTTGACTGAGGGTGGGGCCGCTGCCCCCTCGCTGGCCGCCTCTTCCTGGCCCCACCCTGCCTGCTCCGGAGCCTCCTCCTCCTCCTCCTCCTGCTCCTCCTGGGGGCCCCCACTGGCCCCGAAGCCCTGCAGGAGGGCCACCACCGCTTCCGGGCGGGGCAGCTGAGCAATCCGGAAGTGCTTCTTGTAATGGGGCGTGTCCTTGCGGATCAGCCGCTGCTTCCCTGCAGGGAACTGGGGGGCCTCCTCGTCCTCGTCCTCACTGTGAACCAGGGTGTCTTCTGCAAAATGCACCGTGGGCTGCAAAGAGACGCCCCCCAGCCGGGGCAGGAAGGGTCAAGCCAGCCCCTCCCAGCCTGGAACCAGGCCGTGGGCGGAAGCACGTGGGGTGCCCCGCCCGCCAGTCTCCCCCTTTGGGCTGAAAGCCAGGCGTGCGAGGAGGGAGGCGGGGGTCTCTTCCGCCTGGGAGACGCGGGCGGCTTCGAGCTGCTCATCTCAGCGTTCCAGCAGTGCTGCCACCCCCCCCTTCTGCCAGGCTCCTCTTGGCGGTTGCTCTTCCGCTGCCATGCCCCCCTCCCTGGGCACAGGCGTGAGCGGCCAGATGGAGCAGGGGAAGAGGGGGAGCTGCCATCGCCCACTCCCTCTCATTTGAAATGCCGCTGCTCTTTCTCCAACCCCTTGTGCCCAACGAGCGGAGAAGGCCCTCAAGTCAGCTGGCGAGAGAACCTGGAGGCTGGGCCCTTCCCAGAGGCCGAGGGAGCTGGCGGGCAAGAAGAGCCCAGCCAAAAACGCCGGAGGCGGCTGGGCCTTCCCTTGCCCCGGGGTGGCCTTCCCCTCGCCAGTCCCAAGGCCTTTAAGGACCAATCTCGGCTGTAGGATGGGGGTTCTTGGCAGGGACCCCGGGCCCCTCTGCTCCGGGAGGAAAGGCGTCAGGGGGCCCCAGGAAAAGAGGCACGGGCGGCCCTCGCTCTCCATCGGTCTTCCCCCAGGTGGTGGGCTGGTTCTCCTGGCCGCGCTCTGGTTGTGGCTGGCTGGCTTTTGTGGGTCACCATTTGGGCAGCGGTCATAAGGCAGGCCCCTCTGCTGGTGCAGAAGAGGCAGGGAAAGGCCTTGGAGGAGCTGGGCAGGGGCAGCCAGGGGTCCCTATGCCAGGGCTTTTCAACCTTTTTCACCCATTGTGCCACTTTTAGGGTACAGCAACATCCGAGTACCACCAGTCGCCTAGCAAGGTGTCAAAAACTTGATGACCAAAAAAGAAAAAGAAAAAAGGGAAAAAGTGATAAAGTACAGGTAGTCCTCGACTTACAACAGTTCGCTCAGTGACTGTTCAAAGTTACAATGACACTGAAAAAAGTGCCCCCCAAGCCACAGCCGAGCAAGACACCTGCCTGCCCACCTGGCGGCGCTCTTCCTCCTGTCTGAGGTTTCCATTGTTGTGAGCATTTCTGTTGAGGATTGGCAGCGGGGATGGGGTGGGGGGTGTTTGGTTTTTATTCCCCCCGTCTGCTGGGTGGTTGCAGCAGGTTTTGGTCACTTCACATGACCCTGGGACACTGTGACCGTCATAAATATGAATCGGTTGCCAAGCATCTGAATGTAAATCACAAGACCCTGGAGAGGCTGCAACATTCCAGCTGATCGGCGCTTCTTCTGGGCTCAGCAGAAGCACCAGGATCAGTGCTGCTTTCCAGCTGATCGGCGCTTCTTCGGGTCTCAGCAGAACCACCAGGATCAGCGCAGAGCTCCAACTGGAGCCTGGCGCTGATCCTGGTGCTTCCATTGAGCCCTGACAGCCCCGAAGCGCCGATCATCTGGAAAGCGGCACTGATCCTGGTGCTTCCGCTGAGCCCTGACAGCCCTGCAGCTCCAGCCGTCTCTCGCTCAAGCTTGTGCGGTGCTGCCACCAGTTCAGCTCATTCCCCTCCCCCGCTACTTTTCTAGGATGGTCGCGTACCACCTGCCAGGTGCCAATGTACCACAGGTGGTACCCGTACCACTGGTTGAAAAGCCCTGCCCTACACAACGCCCCCCCGCTCTCCTTCCCCGCTCTGCTGCCAGCCGTGGGGGACGGAAGGTGGAAGAGGCTGACCCCACAGGATGTGTGGCTGGACTGGACACCCAGCTAAGCTTCTTAGCTCTTTCCCTCTTGGCAAAGCTTATCTGACTGCCTAGGCAGCTTGCAGAAATTCAGTCTTAAAAAGGAAGATGCAAATCAAACGTAGAAATTATGATTATAGAAAAACTAAAGAGAAAACTAAAGCCGGGGTGTCGTCACCCCAAGGCCTCCAAAAGAGGTGCGGTGCCACCAGGGCGGGGGGGGGGGGGCTATGCCCGCTTCCGGTCACGGAAGAGCAGCAGGACAGAAGCAGAGTGCTCCCAACACCGTGGCCTTCAGAGCCTGCTGGCCTGACCCTCTGCTTGGCCCGTGCCCTTCCTTTGCCCGCTCCGCCCTACACTTGGGTGGCCGAGAGGCTTGAAGAGGCGAGGTGCCCGCCTTGTCCAAAAGGGCTCGGAAAGGCGGCCACAGTCTGGAGCTCCGGCCTCCCCTCGGCTCGGCCAGCAGCCCCACTCACAGCGGGCAGAGCTGCCACGGGAAGCCTCCCGGCTCCTACCTCGGAGTACTCCAGCTCCAGCTCCTCTTCCTGGTCCTCCCCCGTCTCCTCCGGCGTGGGCCTTTCCTCTGGTGGCGCCTGGCCTCTCCCCTCAGCTGCCAGCTTCCCTTCTCCCTCCGGCTGAGCCTCTGCCGTGCCCCCCTCTGGCTGTGGCGCCTCTCTCCCCTCCTCCGGGCCGTCGCCGGCAGAGAGGGTGCTGCCAGAGACACGGGAGTCTTCGCTGCGGTTGGAGGCGGCACTGAGCCTCTTGCCCTGTGGGGGGGGAGGGGAAGGGGGGGCGGTTGAGGACCTGGGCACTGCCCGGCTGATGCTGGCAGCCCTGACGGCCCCAGGGACACCAGAGTCGCCTTGGGACGCTTTCCCTCGGCTGCCTCCACTAGGCTGCACTGCCGGGAAAGGGAGGGGCGGTAGCAAAGGCTGGGGCCTGCGACCCACTCTTCCCAAACAACCCGACTGGGAGGGGCTGGCAGGGAAAATGGCAGCTGCGACACCAAGACTTCCCCCCCATCCCCAATGTGAACGTGGTCCTCAGCTGGACGACAGCCTCTTCCCCTCCCCCACAGGGCCAATCGCTGAGGTCCCCCCTCTGCTCCCTAAATGGCCAATTTAAAACGGCAGCCCTGAAGCGCAAGGCAAGGCCCAGGGGCTGCCTTCCTCGGGCTCTTCTCCAAGAGACCAGGCTGGTGAGGAGGTCGAGGTGCACGTGAAGCAGGGCCGAGTGGGCATCTCTTTGCTAAGGCCACCTGACCGCTGGCAGAAGCCCTCGATGCCCACCTCAGCGTTACCGGAGTCCTGCCTAGCTGCCGCGGAGGCCTCACTGCGTCGCACTTCCATCCCTTTCTTCATGGACTTCAGCTCGCTGGGGTGCGGAGTGGCCCTGCGCTGCAGCCCCTGCCAAAAGCATGGGGGGGGGGGAGAGAGAAGCGGGCAGGTGAGGGCACAGCCAGGCTCCTCCGAGGCCCATCAGCTCCAGTTGCTCCCTCTAGGTAGGAAGCAGCGGGAGGATCACCTGCTCCCCCCACCCCCCGGGCCAGGCCAGTGAAGCCCGAGGACTGAGCGGACACCCGCTCTGGCTGCCCAGCCCTGCTCCTCTCCTTCGGCCATTACCCTCTTCTCGGCGCCAGCTTCCTCCTCCTCCTCTTCCTCCTCCCTTTGAGGGTCCTCCAGGAACTGGATCACACTGACCCGGTTGGGATTGGCCTCTGCCCAGCTCTCATCCAGGCTGTTCTGCAGGAGGTTCTCTGCAGGGGAGACCCAGAGGGGGCGGGCAGTGAGGGCGAGCTGGGCTCCTCCCACCACCACCCCCGCCCGGAGAGGCTGGGCCCCGGGGCCCCGTCACTACCTGAGCTGGGGGACGGCTGCTGGGGCAGCAGGTAGCAGGTGAGCACTTTCTCCCCCGTCTTCTCGTCCTCCTCGGCCTGGAACTTGAGCATGGGCTGCGACTGGTTCTCCGCCAGCCAGAGGGCCTTCAGGTGCAGGTTGGTCAGGGTGAAGGGCAAGTGCTGCAGCCTGCGGCCGTGGAAAGCCATCAGGGGGGTGGTCCCTTTGCCCCCCTCCCCCAGAAGCTGCCAGCTCAAACGGGGAGGGGGCATGTCAAGCAAGAACATCCGATGTTAGCAGCAGCCAGAGCTGCACTTGGCGGGGTGGGGGTGGGGGGCTGAGAGGGCTCTGGGCAAAGCGAGTTCCCAGGAATAAGGTACCCCAGACCTCTCCTCACCCCCTTCCTTCTTGGTGAGGGGAGGGGGCTGCCTGGTGGTGCTTGGACCCCAAAGAAGAAGATAAAAATAATTTTAAATAGAGACACAGCTTCTAATATTCGGTTTTTTAATCTGGTTTTACAGGGGTTTGTATTTTTATGCTTTGTATTTGTACTGTTTTTAATACGCTGTGCACCGCCCTGAGTCCTGCGGGAGAAGGGCGGTATATAAATTAAATTATAATAATAATAATAATAATAATTTGGGGCTGAGCAACAGCAGGGCGCAATCCCAGAGCTGGGGGGGAGGGGGGGCAGGACTGAGCCCAGAGCCTCAGTGCCCCTTGGGCTGTTATCCTGGGACCCGGAGCATGAGGAGTCCTCCCTCTCTCTCCACCCCATGGCCCCCCAGCACCCATGCCCCCTCCCTCGCTGCACCCCCTCCTCCTCCCTAAGTGGGGCTCCTTCAACGAGCCCCCTTTCCCCTGCCCTTGGGGGTCCTCTCGAGGGGGGCCTCCAGCCACTGGGAGCAACTTTCCCGTAGGCTTCCCTGACCTTGGAATCGACTCTCCTGCCATTTGCTTTGGGGGAGGGGGAGACATCGACATGCACAGCTGGCCCACCCTTGACCTCCTACAGCAGGGTGTCAAACTGGTGGCCCTTGGGCCGGATGCCTCACGCGCAGGCCACATCCACCCCGGCTCCGCGAAGGCAAAAGAGGTCGCGATACGTCACATGACACGACCGGGTTTGACCCCCGTGTCCTCCAGCCTGCCCCTGCCCCTTCCTCCCTTCAGCCTCCGTCCCATGAATTAGGAGGAGCCAGTCAAGAAGAGCAGATCCAGCAAGACTAGCCAGGGGCTTCCTGGAGGGGCCGGGCCCTCTGCCGCAAATCCACCTGGTCTCTCTGAAAAGCACCACCGTCTCTCCTCCACAGTGGGAGGGGAACCTGTGCTCACCCGGTGTGATGGCTCCCAGGCCAATCCAAGGGCCGAGGTGGGGATCCGGGCAGCCCCTCCCTGTGGGAAAAGGGCATTTCTGCAGCAGGGGGGCTCCCGACTGTCCGAAAGGATCGGCTCCCCAGGACTTAAGGCTTACTAGCAGGGAGGAAGTGGCCGAGGAAGCAGCAGGAACCCTGGAGGGAGATTGGCTGGTTGGCTTGGATTCACCAGCCGCCCGACTGCGAAGGGACTCCGGGTTCCCAGGGATCCCGGCGCTGCTGCACTCGGGGAGAAGCGAAGGTGATCAGGTTAGCATTCCGAATTTCAAGAGAGCAAAGAGGAAAAGCAGTAAAGATTCCAGGGACAGAAATCCTGAAGGGCAAAACATTTCAGGAGGGTTGGGAAACTCTGAAAAGTGGGAGAATTGAGGCCCAAGCACAATCCAGGGCAAACAGGCGGAGGAAAGGGGAGGCTCCCGATGAGACGGGCCCGGTTGCTTTAGAAGCTCTGAGGAGCTTACACAAAAAGAACAAATTTTTTAAAAAAGAGTTTGTTTAAAACAAATTAGAAAAACTTTTTCACACAGGTTGTTGTTTTTTTTTTAAAAAAAGCAAAACAGAATAAAAACACTGCCTCAGGAAACAGCCAGAATCTCCAAGGCTGGGGGTCAGGAAAGTGAAGGCTCAGAATCAGTTGAGGCCTGCAAAGAATGCCAAAAATAAGGGAAAAAGAAGGCCTCTTTGTGCCTGGGCCGAAGCGAAGCCGCTCTGTCCTCTGGAGAAGAGGGAGGGAAAGGCTGGGCTGCTGGACTGCCGAGAGGCAAGAGGGAGCGCCCGGCTGACCTGGGTGGCTTCAGATCTCCTGGACTGGGTGGGCTGTATCCCAGCTGGCGGAGAACAGAAGATGTGCCAGAAGACTGGAGAAGAGCTAGTACTGGCCCGATCTTTTAAAGAAGGAAACAAAATGGACCCAGGAAACTTCAGAACAATCGCCTTGGGAATACCTGGGAATGAGCACCTGCGAAACTCCTAGAAGAGATCACCAAACAGTGGATTTGCAACATTAAGAAAGAAACAGCGATGAGTAGAAGCTCATGTGGGTTTGTTGAAGACAGACTACGCCGGACAACTAGGATTGCTTTTCTTGACAAAGTGGCTAGAATAGCAGACCAAGGCTGTGCTGCCAATGTAGCGCACTTCGACCTCAGGAAGGCATTTGATAAAAGTTGACCACCGCATTCTTTCTTCTAAGATGGAATAAAGGGGAAGGACGGTCCCACTGCCAGATGGAGCTGGAGCTGGCCGAATCACCGGCGCCTGATTCCAATACGTGAACAGGAGGGGACTCACCAAAGGCACAGATGACGTGCAGCCGGGGAAGGCTGTGAACACGCCAGAAGACAAATTCAAGGTTCAAAAGGAGCACTGCAGACGTTAAGCACTCAGCCACCTAACGATACGGTCATACAAGGCCCAATACTTCAATAAGAAAAATCTAAAGCGCAGGTACCAGGCAGGCCACACCTGGCTGGGAAGTAGTAATACCTGTGGGAAGGACCCGGGTGTCCTACAGGCCACGTGAGCCAACGCGATCTGGGGTTGCCTCAACAGGGGCATAACGCTAAGATTGCGGGAAGTGATCCGGTGGTCAGAGTGCGCCTGGAATACCGGTCCGGCTCTGGTCGCCACAAAATAAAGAGGCAGCGGAGGAACTGGGAAGTGGGCAGAGGAGGAGGAGGAGGGAGAGGGCGAGGGGCTTGGAGGCTGAATCCCACCAAGAGCAGCTCAAGGATCTTGCTTACCCTTGGCCTGAAACAGAGAAGCAGCGCTGAGGGGAGACACGGCAGCCGCCGTCCAGCCTTTGAGGGGCTGTCCCAGAAAAGAAGCCTGGGCCGCCCCCGAGGGCAAGATGGAGGAGGAAGCTTGCAGGAGATCAGCTCAAAGTGAAGAAGGGAATTTCCAGATAGGGCACGGCGGGACCGCCGGCTTCCTGGTACTGCAGGGGCTCCAGCTGCTGAACCTTTGAAACGAAGGCTGGGCAGGACTTGTCTGGAACGGTCTGAGGATCCGTACTGCCCTAGGCAGGGGGCTGGTCTAGAAGACCTCCGAAGTCATAGTTGAGGCCACCAGTTTACGAAAAGAGAATGGGAGGTGGTATTGCAGGATCAGGCCCGTCCATGGCTCGCCACCCTTTTCCAAATTCTTTCACACACACCGGCAGTAGACCACAAACACGGCTGCTTGGAAAGGACTGTGGAAGTGCCTAGCTAATGGCATCTGCTGGGCCCGATTCTGCTCCCGCTGCTCTGCCCTTCGCTCCCGGCAGCCTCTCCCAGGAAGGCCGGGCCCGTTCTGAGGCACTGGAAGGGCCCTCTGCTTCCAGGCCCAGGGAGGGCCACCTCGCAGGGGAGCCCGAGGGCCCTTCCAGGAAGAGCGCCTCCCTCAGGGGACTCCCATCCCTGCTTCTCAGCCTTTCCTTCTGGGCAACAGACACCCCGATTGGTTATTAGTCCATAATAACGACTCGCTGTTCCCTTTTCATGTTGTGCTGTACAGGTAGTCCTCAACGTACGACCATTCGTTTAGCAACAGTTTGAAGGCACTGATGTCCATCACAGCGTCCCTGTGGTGACGTGGCTGCCACTTGTGGCCGCTCAGCCGGCTCCCCATGAGCCGGGTCAGTGGGGGGAGCCGTGCGATTCGCTCGCCCCCTGCGGCACAAACGGCCGTTAACATCAGGCATGGCCCCACGGTGACTCGCTTAACGACCAGATCATTTAGCTTACGTGATTGTAAGTCAAACACTGATGTCTTTTTTTGCCCTGACCTTCAGAGAGAGAACGTGTCCTGCTGAGCCCAACTCATTAAATAACCCAATGAAATCTTTTCTTCCCCAGTCTTGGAGAGGGAGGAGAAAGTTATGCCTCAGAACCCCCTCGGAGCCGGATAATCTCCTTTCCGTCTAGTGGTTCATTTGCATCCTGCTTTTCTCAGCAGCTTGAAAGAAACACTTTCCTCTGAGGTCCTCAAACGTTTTTATTTCGGGCTATGGAGTATTTCATTTCCTGTTCTAGCAATAAAAACAGGGGTATCTGCAAGCGGACAGTCTCCCCGGGAGCCTCGTGGATCTCTCTGGGAACCTTCTGGCTCCCTGGGACACAGGCTGAAAAGCAGGACTGCTGCGACGGGCTCCGAGCCGATACCACGTGCCGGAGAGGCCATCTTTGGGAGGAAGGCGACAAATGGTCCCTTTAAACTGTGGACAAGGACTGGCCGATACGCAGAGTGGACCGTGAAGGGATTTCTGACGCGCAGAGGCCGGCCGCTGGCCCTGGGCCCTTCCAGGGCAAAGGCCCTTCCAGGTGGAGGCTCCTCTGCTTGCTAACTCAGTCAGCCCTGCAGGTAAATCAGTGCGAGTGGAAGGGGAGGCGGGGAGCTCCAGAAACTCACGAGAGGAATGCCAGCCCTGCCACGTTTGGCTTCCCCCCCCCCATCCTGACCATCGCCACGTCCTGTGGGTTTTTCTACTTCTGGAAAGATCCCACGGGCTGGTTTCCTACGGGAGCTGCGCTTCACGCCGGCTGAGCACGCTTGTCAGCAGCTGCACAGAGAGAGAAGGCAAGGGGACCCACGCAGCTGGGCCCCAGGAGAGGGTCAGGATGGGGGGAAGGCTCCTGCCCAGTGGGCCTAGCCAGCTGAGGCCCGCGGTGTGGGGAGACTTGCAGCGCTCCTGCAGTTTTAAGGGCAGGTGCGGTGCGAAGCGCCTGAATTTTTATCACGTGACCAAAGGGACGCTGCAACGGCTGGAACTTCGGGAGGGGTTCGAATGTCCCTTTGCTCAGCGCCGTCAGAATTCTGAAGAGTTGTGGAACAGTCACCAAATCGAGGACTGCCCGTACAGCTCACACATGTCTCTCTCATTTACATCCAGGCTGGGAGATGTGCTCACTGCTACTGAGATGTTTGCTCACTGGTTTAATTTCAGATGACGAGATGGGCTGTTTTGCTCTAAATCAGTACATTTTATGTTTTTATACCGCTAAGCGGCCTGTCATCTGAGTTGTGGTTGCGAGAAGCCGCTCAGAAACTGGCAAAAACGCAGAGCCCATGTAAACCGGGCAATCTTTAGCCACCTCCAGGCGGACACGCACAATGAGGGGTGGTAAGGGGTGCCTGGCTGGCCCAGGGCGCCAGTTCTGAAGCAAGCCTGGACTTCTTCCCTCCTGCCCCCTCTCCCCACCTCAGCCGTACCGGTTGCCTGCTACGTCCAGGACGTGCAGCTCAGTGGTGCTCGCGAGCTCCGGGGGCAGCAATTCCAGGCGGTTGTCTCGAAGGGAGAGCACATTCAGGCTGCTGCAGCCCCCAATCTCTGCAGGAAGCAACGTCAGGCGATTCCGGTCCACATTGAGGTTGGTCAGCTTGGTGAGTTTCCCCAGAGACCTGGGGAGGGTCTGAGAAAAGAGCACCCGGGGGTGGAGGCGTAAGACCGCCACCCTTGGCAGATCAGCGAGCTCACCTGGAGAGCGGCTGCCTAAAGCGCAGCAGGTAGAGCCAACTTGCATGCCCACCTGTAGCAGGTTCTCAGTGAGGATGAGCTCCGACAGGTTTGCACAGTCCCCGATGGCTTCGGTCACCTCTGTGAGACGGTTCTGGTCCACCTTCAGGATGGAGAGCTGCTTCAGCTGGCCTGGGCAAAGGTCAAGAGAGTATAGATGACCCTGCGCAGCCAGGGCCGCTCCAGGCTGGATTCTGCGGGAGGTGATTACAATCCCTTTGGGGATTTTAGCTCTCTCAGAAACGTGGCACCATCATGTAGGGTTTCCTGCCTGAGCAGGGGGTTGGACTAGAAGACCTCCAAGGTCCCTTCCAACTCTGTTGTTCTGTTCTGTTCTGTTCTGTTCTGAGCAGCAGGTTCCAGGGGCTTAATGAGAGAGGCGTAATCTGGGAGCAGAGGAACCGGGAGCTGCCTGGGCGTTTGCTGGAGCAGCCCACCCCCAGCGCTCCTCTCAAGGGAAGGCAGGGGCCCACCTGGGCATCAGGGGACAGAAGGCCTTTAACAAAAGCCATAACCGACTGGTCCGCATCCCGCTTTTACGCTCTCACTCTGGCACTTAAGCTTCTGATGCCCCTTAGCAGGAAAGTGCAGTATAGATAAGTGGTACTAACTACAACAAGAGCACTGACTTTTAGCTTTATAACGAAAGCTTAAAGGGCTTCGGTTTTATGACGCTCTTTTCCCAATCAAGGATTTTTTTCGCCTCCCCCCCCCCGAGCAAAGCTGTGTTCCCCAAGATTCTGCACCAAGGAACGAGTTCTCAAAGAAGCTCCTCCCAACTCCAGAAATAAGAACAAACGAAAAGCAGATTTCAAAGCCAAAGCCGAGCCAAAGCCGATACCATTGCGGGATGGCTTCCTTGTTTCTGAAGACCCCCCCCCCAAATCTCGCTCAAGGGTCCCCCCAAGCATAGCCACACTCACCAATGCCGTCGGGAATCATCTCCAGCAGGTTCTGCGACAGAAGCAGGTCCGTCAGCACCACCAACCCACTGATCTCATCGGGCAGCTGCTCCAGCTTGTTCTCGGAGACATCCAGGCAGACCAGCCGTCGCAGATTGCCCAGCTCCTGCAGAGAGGGAAGCGAGGCAGGCCGACTCGGACGGCTGCTCCGCTACACTCCGGCCTCTTTGCGCTGGACCCTCAGGACCCTCAAGGGGCTCCTCCTCAGGGCTCAGCCGGCCCCCTTCATTCCTGCCACACTGAACACGTGGACGCCCCAAACAATTCCTCCACAAGGAAGCTTCGGGTATAAGCAACACTTCCGACTCTTGCAGCGTGGGCCGCCTGCCCTACCAGGCCAGATCCCTCCCTCTCCCTGACGATGCTGCCTCTTGGCAGACCCCTCTGGGGCTCCTCAGAAATCCCTTCATGGTCCACTGTGCCCATCGACCAGTCCTCGTCCACAGTTTGCAGCAGTCCTGCTCTTCGGCCTGTGTCCCACGGGACCAGAAGGTTCCCAGAGAGACACATGAGGCTCCCGGAGAGACTGTCCGCTTGCAGATACCCCCGTTTTTATTGCTGGAACCGGAAATGTCAGCCTGCCAGAGGCACCCGAGGCCCTGGCCACGGCACGGGAAGACCAAGGCGCGGGAGGGGGGCGGAAACACTTACCGGGGGCAGGCAGGAGAGCTGGTTCCTGTCCAGCCAGAGCTCACGCAGGTTTGGCAGGGCGCCCAGGGTGTCTGGCTGTGAAGGAGAGGAGCACAACATCAGTCTCCATGGCAAACACCCTTCCCGGGACCGCCTCCCCCCGGGGCCTTCAGGCCCAGCCCCCGAGGGGCCTGCTGAGAGAGGGGGCTGGAGCAGGGGCAGGCCATCCCCACTCAGGATCTGGGGCGAAGAGCACTGCCCTGGGCTCAGGTGAGAAGGGGCCGCACAGCCAGTGGGCGAGAGGCCGGCCGGGAAAAGAAAGACGGGTGGGTCTCCCCCCTCGAGCCTCCCTTACCAACGCTTCCAGGTCGTTGCCCCCAAGGTCCAGCTGCTCTAATTTGACAAGGAAGGAGAGCGAACTGCAAGGCAGAGGGGAAAAGTCAGGGCCGTTGGGAGCACAGGAGCTGCGCCCCACCTCCACGGGGCTCCTCTAGGGCCCCTCCGCCGGGGCAGGGGCAAAGGGGCACTCACGCCGGGAGGCACTTCAGCAGATTCTCACGGAGCTCCAAGGTCACCAGGTTGGCCAAGCTGGGGGAGAAAGGAGGGCTGGGGTTGAGCAGAAGAGTGGGCCCTGCCCCCCGCCTCGCCCCCACCCCATGCCAGGCACCAACTCACTTGCCAATGTCGTTGGGCAGGCTCTGCAAGGAGACGTCGTTCAAGGCCAGGTGGCCCAGGTTGCGCAGCTGGGTGAAGCCCTCGGGGAGCCTGCAGGAGAGGCAGGGAGAGCCTGGAGGGCTCGGCCGGGGTGCACGGAGCTGGGCAGATGGAGCCCCTCAGAGCAACTGGCCTTTGGGGCTCTCTCAGGACCCCAGAGGGGAAGGCACCAGACACTTCAGCCTCTCCCAGGGCAACCTCCACCCCCCCTCCGCCCCCCCAGGCTGTGCCCCTCCCAACAGAGCCTCCCTACAGCTGCCCCAAAGCCCCTCCGTGCAGTCAGCCCCCCCCAGAGGCCCTTCCAGAAGGACAGGCAGGCGCCCCCAGGCGGCCACTTCTCTCCTACCTGGACAAGGGGTTTCCACTGAAGTCTGCAATCTCCAGGGACTTGCAGAACTTGATGCTCTCGGGAATCTCCGGAATGTCTGGAGCAGAGCGGCCCAAAGGCGGGCAGGAGTCAGCGAGGGAGCTCAGAGCCAGCAAGCCCTGCTCCCCCCCTCCCCTCCCCGCCCCCCCAGCATAAAAGACAGGAAGAGCGGCCACCCTGGATAGCCAAGCACAGCCGCCAGAGCCACTTCGGTCCCCCGGACGCACACAGGCCGGGAAGGCAGCAGTCTCCCCCCCCCGCCACCAGGCATGAGGGCCCCTTACCCACCGTTGCGGGAGATGTCCAGCTCCACCAGCTGCATGAAATTGGCCACCTCGGGAGGGAGGCGCTGGATCTCATTGTCACTCAGGCCCAGCCTGCGCAGGTTCAGGAGTCGGAAGAAAGGCTGCGGGCACAGAGGGAGGGGCTGCTCACCGGGGCCGAGGGAAAGCCTGGCCAGCCTCCCCCTCCAGACTGGGGGGGAACAGCGGTGGGGGGGTCTTTGGGGAGCCACTTGCACCCAGCCCTGAAGGCCGGAGGAAGCCTCAGCAAGGGCCCCCCCGCCCTGGAGGCCCCCCCGAGCAGAAGACGCCCTGCAGACCTTCCCACCGGAGAGGCCTCTTCGGGTCTCCTGCCCTAAGGGCCCCCCAGCCCAAGCTCTCTTCCCGTAAGCAGAACCTTCTGCCCCCCCCGGCGCTCAAAGCCTCCCTGTGACAGCGCAGCTTCCGAAGCAAAGAGCCCAATCCACCACTGGCTCCTCAATCTGCCACCTTCCCTGCTAAGCACAGCTGGCTTGGCCTCGGCCCCGTTGTTTTTTTATACTTCCATGCTGCTTGTCACACAATCTTCTATCTAGCTGGCATTCACTGTAAATCATTTCTGACCTCACCCTCCACGTTATCCAAGCAGACACCCACATTCACGTCCCCACCCCACCTGCTCCCACAGCACAAAAGTTTCTCACACGTTTATCAGTATACACACTGAACAACGCAGGGAACCAACACCCATATCTTATTCCATGCTCAATGCTGAACTACAAGTGCTCCTTGTTTAGACCTCAGACAACAACTGTTCAGTTACAACAGTAATAAAAAAGTTACTTCACAACCAATTCCCACAGCATCTGTGACTCTCTCTCTCTCTCTCTCTCTCTCTCTCTCCACACGGAGCAGAGAGACTGCTTCAGCAAGGGATTCCTTTTCTTGAGCTTCTTTCCTTCACTTGTCCCTAAAAAGCGACAACCGCAGGTTAAAAAGCTGAGCTCTGTGGACCTTCATTCTCCTCCCTGGCAAGATCCTAATCAGCTCCACAGCAAAGGCTTTAGCCTGCCTCCTAGGCAGCCAGCCCCAGCAAACCCTGCATCCCACCTGAGGCACACTCCTCCTCATGGTCCACCTGCTTACTCTCTGGGGATCCCTTTCTCTCCAGCCAACGTAAATACGAGCCTCAATTCTCTTTTTGCTAATTATTTCAGCAGCTGGGCTGAGCGTTCCCAAGGATGGGAGACTGGGGGGAAAGGGCTACAAGAGGCCCCAAAACTTCCCACTCACTTGGGCTCACCTGGCTGTTTAGAGAGGCTGTTGCAAAGCAAAGGAAAGCTGAAGTAAAATGCAACCGTGTGGGTTTTTCAGCCAGGGACTGCTTCACAGAACCACCAAACTGCCAGCCCCAATCACAGCAATTGCTTCCTCTATTTACCGGGTGTTTCATTTATGTCCATCCCATACTGCTCTTATTTAGCCACCAGCTTCAGACTCCATGCAGGTAACCCTCGACACATGACCCTGACTGAGCAGGCAAGTCAAAAAATGGGTCACGTGACCACGGGCAATTTTACAACATTTTTTGGCAATCATAAAGCAAATGCTGAGATTGTTAAGCTATGGAGCATGTTTTGTGAGAACCAGAAGTAAATGCTGGTTTCCAGCAAAAATGTTGTAAACCACGGTCCCATGATTATGGAACGTGGCAAACAGCCATAAATGTGGGCCCGTTGCCAAGTACCAAAATTGTGATCACATGACCGGGGTGAGAACTTCAAATCTGGGGGTCTTTTTGGGGGGTCCATTGTAACTTCAAGCAGTTGCTAAGCAGCTGGTCATAAGTCAAGAGCCACCTGTCATATACAACATTCGTAATTTAAGCCCATGTACCCTTACCATACGCTGTTTCTAAATGAGCAAAACTTTTCCTCACCTTAAAACACGCACCTTGGCTTCAACTAAGCCACGGGTGTCAAACTTGCCACGTCACGTGATGTGCTGCGACGTGTCGCAACGTGTCGCATTGCCGGAGCTGGGATGGGCACGGCATCCGTACAATGCAACCGGCCTGCAGGCCGGCAGTTTGACACTCCCGAACTAAGCATTCGACAAACTTCCTCCCAAGACCCTAGCAGAGAAGACAAGAAAACGATGGCTGAACTTGGCTCCATTGGAAAGGCCTGAGGCCGGCTGGACAACTAGAGTTAACGAATGTCCACCGCCAAGCCAGTTTCCCTTAATGCACCCTCAGGATGTGGGCTGAATACATAAAGGAGAGCGCTCAGCTTTCTCTCATGCAGCATCACCACCAGATGGATCCACAACTGGCTGGCCAACTGCACTCAACACGGGGTCCTACCTGGAATGACATCTACACGGAGGGAAGCATGCAGTGGGGTCCCTCAAGGTTCTGCCCTGGGCCCAGTTATCTTGGACACTGTCCTAAATGATCTAGGTGAGGGCACAGGAGGGGAACTCGTCAAACATGCAGATGACACCAAGCTGGGGTTGTGGGGGAATTGCCAACACTTTAGATTATGGGTGCCCAACCTTTTGGCTGGCCTGGGCTACGTTTAAGCGAAGAGGAATTGTCTTAAGCCACATACATAATATATATAATATCATTTTATAACATAAAATCACATAATAATGTTCAAAGTTTACAGTCTTGTAGGGCTGCATGACTAGCTGTCCAAGGCCACGTGCTTTAGAAGACAGGATTCAGAAGGATCTAGACCGACTTGAGCAGTGAGCCCTATCTAACGCGATGCAGCTCAGTGGTCCTGCACCTAGGCAGGAAAAGCCCAACGCACAGGGACAGCAGAGGCGGCCCCTGGCCCATCAGCAGTAGCACTGAGAAGGATCTGGGTCTCCTGGTGGACCACCTGGCTTAACAGCAGGGTGGCTGCAGCTGCCCAAAAAAGCCAGTGCTGCCCTGAGCATCAAGATCGCAGGAACTGATGATAGATAGCACCCTTCTCTGTGCTGCACGACTGAAGCCACACTTGGAATACGGCATTCGGTTCTGATCACCATGATGGAAAAAAGAGGCTGTAGAAAGAGAGAAGGGAAGAGAAACAAAGAGAAAGAGGAATCCGGAGGCTAAACTGTATGATGAACGGTTAAGGGAACTAGGTATGTCTAACCCAGGGGTAGGCAACCTTGGCTCTTTTGAGCTGGCTGGCTCAGGAATTCTGGGAGTTGAAGTCCACGAGTCATAAAAGAGCCAAGGTCGCCTACCCCTGGTCTAACCTATCAAACAGAAGGATTAGGGGTGACGGGACAGCTGTCTTCCAGCACTTGTGGGGCTGTCCCAGAGAAGAGGGGCTGCTGTCAACAGGACAAGAAGTAACAGCTGGGAGATCATCAAAGATCCAAGAGCTAAGGAGACCTTTCCTGACAGTGAAAACAATCGGTCAGTGGAATGGCTAGCCTCCACCAGACGCTCCATCACAGGAGACTCTCCAGAAGAGGCTGGACAATCATTTGTCCACAGTAGCATAGGGTCTCCTGCTCAAGCAGGGGGCTGGAAGACATCCAACGTCTCTTCCCACCCTGTTATTCCATCTTCTGTGTTATTCCTTTGCTGACCTGGAGCCGGTCTATACTGGATCGGGGTTTCTCGCCTTCTACGGGAGTTTCTTGAGGCCAATGAGCTGCTTCTGAGCACATGCCACAGGGTAACACAGACTAGAATGTGCCCATATTCTCCTTCTGTTATTTCTAGGGATATTCCATAATTTTTGTAGTCATCTAACTTCGTAATTACCAGACTGCTAATCTACCTTCATCTTTCAGGGGCTCTTGTAAGAAGGGAATACTTTGCAAAATATTTCAGAGGTTGAGATGTGTGCTATACAAAATTTGAACACACTCTTTCCAGCCCTGTTCGATGTTCTTTAAATCTGTTACTGCCTATTAGCATCTATTAACAAATGTATTTGGAGCTGGAACCTCCTTCAAAGATCGAAGTTCTTTTGGAAAACTTCCTTGTCTTTCTGTGTCTGTTTCCATCTTCAGTATTTTTTACAGATGTCACTGTAGCAGTGCGTATTTTATTTAACAACTCTGTGAAATTCTTTGTTAAATTTCTTCTTGAGATCTTTGTCTTTCTGGCTTTCGTCTCTGGCTTTTGGGGGGGTTGGTCTCTCTCCTCTTCTGGCCAATTTCCATTGTTTTTCCTGACTTCCACTTTGCTTTCTTCTTTGTTTCTTTGTTAATCTTTGACAGTCTCTTCACATTCATTCTGAACGTTAAATTCATTCCACAATTTCTCTGGTTCCCTATCAATGAGGTCCAGGACTTCAAAAGGATTTCTGATGTTCTCCTTGAAAACCACGGTAAGTATATGCCCAAGAGCATTTGGCACAAACTTCCACTTTAGCCTGACTTGGAACTTGTGCATAAGCAATTTCTGATGTCTTTCACGGTAAACCTCTGGCTGCTCCTTTAACCGCGATCTGAGCTCTTTAACTGAGGAATAAATAACTGAGCTCTTGCGCTTCATTATAGCAACAGCACAGGCCGCCTTGGTGTCTGCGTGTATTTCATTTGGCGGTATCTAAAAATCGTTTAAGCACCGTTTTCTTTCCTGGGAGACGGAGTTACCCAGAAAGCAACGGATAGACAGACAGAAAGTGGTAAGTTGTTCTCTGGCTTCACGTTGGTTTTACAGCTTCCTCCTTAGGACCCTCTAACTTTGGCATTCCAGTCTCCAATCCCAAGGAGCCCACCTGCCCTGTCAATTCCCCTTTCACAGCGCTGAGCCCTGCAAATTCCACCCTCCCACGCCTGGCGCACCTCCCCTCCAGAGGCTCCATTGGGGGAGCCCTGCCTGGGCTTGCTTTAGCCGGGCAGCTGGGGTGCCCTTCTTCTCGCCTTGGGTGACCCTGCTGGGATTATACATTCTTGGCCCCCATCTGTCACTTGTCCCTCCCAGGAACAATCCCCCCCCCACAACTTGCCATGATGGGGCAGCACAGCAGGATGCCAGGATACATGGGCTAACAATGCAATGCAATTGCCAAAAAAGCAATTGCCATCCTAGACTGCAGCAACAGAACCAGAATATCAAGATCAAAAGATATTGTCGTTTCTATTCTGCATCGGTCAAAGCAGACTCAAGTCTGGACAATACAATGTAGGAATCCTAAAACCACAGCCGTATCTAGCCCAACATCCTGCATCCTGCTCGGTCCAGGAGAGCTTCTCTGATAATAATATCTCTTTAAAGACCTCTAGTACAGTGGTTTTCAACCTGTGGGTCGAGACCCCATTTGGGGTCGATCGACCATTTCACGGGGGTCACCAAGCAAGGCTGTCCGCCATTTTTCCCCCCTTTTCCGGCGGGTGCCTTACCTCCCTTGGGCTGGGCCAGCTGGTGGTCGGCCTGCTCCGTCTCTGCCGCTTGCCAGCTACGCCTCGGCTGGCGCAGGGGGCGGAACCACGCATGCGCGGCGCTCCCGGGCAGGGAAAGTCCTCGACTTACGACCGGTTGGGTAGTCCTCAACTTACGACCGGTTTAGTCCTCGACGTACGACCGGTTTAGTCCTCGACTTACGACCGGTTGGGGTCGCGGCATTAAAAAGGTTGAGAACCACTGCTCTAGTAAAAGAGCTCCTTTCCTGTGGCAGTCTGTTCCCCTGGACTGACAATCCCATGCCGTGCTGAGGCTCCTCCTGATGTTTAACCGGATCCTCCTTCCTTGTAGCTTCTCCCCCCCCCCACACACACACTTCTGGCCAGCTCTGGGGGAGCAGCTGTCCTCCCTTCTCCTCTGGAGGCCACGAAGAACCAGCACCTTGACTCTTTCCTGACAGCGCTCCCCTTTCAGCCCCTTGCCGGCCCTCTTCGGCCTGGCCCCAATCGGCCCCTGGGCTCTTGGACTTGGGGGCCCCAGAATTGGACGCGGGACTCCACAGGGGTCTGGGAGGACAGAGTTCAGGGAACAATTACGCCTCCCAATCTGGATTCGATGCTCCTGCTAAGGGCCCCCCCCCCAACGTAGCTGCTTTAGCTGCTGCCTCAGACTCCTCCTGCCTGATGACTGACTTGAAGGAAGGACAGAGACAAACTGCCTGGGAGCCTCACTGCCTCTCCTGACTCTGCCCACTGACAGGTCTCGCCCTTTTCCCATGAAAATCCTGCCAAGGACACACTCCTACGGTTCTTGTGTTCACTCTTGCTACGGTGGCACCCTAACCCCATCCTTCCAGTCACCAAGCACAGACGCCATCTTCCCCCACACACCGAACAAGCTGCAGATCCACTCCGTGAGTGCACCTCATCTACTTCTCAGCTCTGCCTGCTACAACTGCAGCCAATATTGTTTCACAACAGCCTCCCAGCCATTAGGACTGCCCCATCTTTTCTTGGACCCCGGCACGCCTGGCGCTGGTCTCGATCCCTCCAGGGAAGGACGAGAAGCAATGGCTGGAAACTGACCAAGGAGAGAAGGAAGCTGGAATTAAGGAGAAACTTCCTGACAGGGAAGACAACCAACCACTGGAACAGCTTTGCCTTCAGAAATCGTGGGCGCTCCATCACTGGAGATTTTTAAGAAAAAACTAGACAATCACCTGTCAGAGATGGTGTAGGTTCTCCTGCTTGAGCGGGGGGCTGGACTAGAAGACCTCCAGGGTCCCTTCCATCTGTTCTAAATCTCTGAAATCCTCTTGAGCTCCTCTCCCCTTCCGCTCATCCCAAATCCTTTCACTTCTACTCCGTCTGCCGGAGGTTCCTTCCCTCGTTCTTTCCCCCAAAGCCACCACTGCACTGCTTTGCCTCTTTTGTTCCTTGCTCTCTTTCACTCTACCCTTTGCAACTTTTTCTCTCAACGTGCAGATGGTTTCTGTTATTCATACGTTCCCCCCTTGTTTAGAGCCCCCCCTCTTCATTTCACCATGTTTTCTTTTTTGTATTTCTCATTAGCATATCTTCCACCCATGAGGGAAGGCCCCTTCGGCCATGGAGACCACAAAAAGAAATTGCAGACAATGGGAAGAAAGCGGGCTGCATGCAAAAGAGCAGGACAAAAGGGCATTGAGACGGCCCGGCCATGCAGAGAGAAGGGAGAATGGCCAAATATATGAAAATGGCATCAGTTGTTTCACTTTTTTTGTGTGTTTAAATTTTTCCCTCAAGATCCACTCTTGCCACTACTAAGAAACAGTCGGCTCCACATTTAGAATGTCTCATTCTGGCCCCGACACTCTCAAACTTTCCGCATCAAATCAAATCTGCCTTTACTTTCACAGCTTTCACAAGTTTACACATAAATCTGAGGTTTTCAATCCTGCACCCCACCCGGAGTGGCAGCCAAGTTGCAATGGAGTTGGGCCACCTTACAAACTGGATGAAGACTTATGCTTTAGCCTTTCATTTGAAACATACTTTTTCTAAGCAAGTCCTCACCGCTCATTTCGGTGTCTCTGAACAGCCCAGTCGCTGCCCACCCTGTCCCGTCTCATCCACCCATTTCTCCCCTGACTCTCAGGCACTCAGAACCCAATTCCCTGGATGTGGCCCTTTCTCCGCTTCTCCCATTATCACCACTCCCTGGAAGGTAACGATGCACAACTGTCACCCGCTTACTGATTCTTACTTGGAGACCCGCCCATCAAAAAATTAGACGGTATACCAGCCCACACTTTGCCTCTTTCGTTCATAAAAAAAGACCTGAGTTACGCTGCGGGTATTCATCAGCTCCATCCACAAGACCAGACATCCTCATTCACTTTCCTCTTTCTCTCCTTGGGGCTTCACCCAGGTGCAGCGTTTCTATGTTTTATGTCTTTCATGTGTTGATTTATCACTTGTAACTTTTACGTATACCGAAGGCAAACTCCTTGTGTGTCCAATCACACTTGGGCAATAAAGAATTCATTTTATTCTAATTGCTCCATTTACTCCTTCTGCACACCCAGCTTGTGATTTTCCCACGCCGGGCGACACTCTGTGGGCGCCCAGTTCAGCCTCCCCCCCTGCAGGGTCAGACGGGGAAAGTGCCCAGGCGGGGGCCCTCCCCGGCCGGGTCCGGCAGGCCTTTGGCGGGCTCCCTACCGGCAGGAAGGCCACTTCGGGCACATGCCGGCCAGGAGCAGCCCGTGGATAAGGAGATCTGAGCGAGGCCGGTCAGCCAAGCAGGGAGGCCACGGCCGCCCCTGGGAACCGGCCGCTTTCCCGGAAGGATCCTGCGCGGCCAAGACCGGCCGAGGGAAAGCGGCCCGTTCCCCGCAGGCGACCCCCGCCGGCTGAGGCAGAGCGAGCGAGGGAAGCAGCCCCGCTCGAGGACCCACCGGGCCACG